TAATTTCATTTGTATCATATTTTAGATTCCACATATAAGTGATATAATATGGTAAGTTTGTAAAGGAATTCTAAACATGAACATAATATAAGTAATATTCCTCCTTCCCCAACTGTGTCTACCCTAGTCTTCAGAAAAAAAAAAAAGGTGAAAGTTTTTGGTTGTTGTGAAAATGGTGACCATGCTTATTCTAATGGTTTATCATTATGAGTTCACTTAATAACATAGGAAATTTCATATGCTCACTTATTTACTTATAATTAGAGGCTATCAGAGAAGTGTGAATATATAGTCTGCCTTGATTCTAGACATCTTGATTCATGGTCATAATTGGTTGGTTGTTATCTCCTTCAGGGGGGAAAAGAGTCTTGGGGAGAGCAGGTTTAATATATCTTTAGTCAACAATCTACCAATAAGAACTGAATTTTGGTAAGACTATATAAATTACAGCAAGAAAAAGATTAAAATGTCAGTCTTTACAATTCTTGACTAACTTGGATCATGTTATTCATGCTGTCATTTATGTTTGAAACTCATTATTAACCCAACCCAAGATTTTCTTCACCTACATCCTTTCTCCAAACCTCTTCGTTTCCCAGAATTCTCTCTTAGATAATGCCATAAACATCCTTCTAGTCACTGGCTGGAAATCTTGAGACCATTTCACCTCCTCATTTTCCTTCATCTTCTACATTCTGTGAAATACCAGTTCTAGTTGGTTCTGTCTACAGAGTTCCTTTCATACATGCCTTTTTGTTGTTGTTGTTTAACACAAGCATTGGCTGATTCCAGGTTCTTGGTATTTCTTGCTTGAATAAGTACTATACTCAATTCAACTTGAGTATAGGGTTCAAATATTTGCCACCTCCCATCCAGTATGCCACTGCCCCTCTTAAATGCTATGAAAGTCTTTGCATTGTATTTGAGTCTCTTGTATTGACCCTCTAGTTCAACCACAGTGGCCCACTATTTCCCCAAGAAAGTCATTTTCAGATTTCTGCTTGGTTTATGCTAGAAATGGCAAAATAGGTCTCAACCCTTAGGTCCAAATCAGAAGCAACCTTTGACACTTTCCATGTAATCTGTATCCTTCTGAGCTAGGAGACAGGGAAGGTTCATGTGATAGAGAGAGAAGGGAGACTGTAATAGGACTAGAAACGTACTCCTCCTTTTAGCTTCTTCAGCCTCTCCGTGCATCCAGTGCCTTCCTTCTTTCCCTTCAATATGCTCTGAATGCTGCTGCATGCTCTGCTTCCTGAGCAGGGGCATGGCTTATTGGGAGGGTCTAGCTGAGAGCTGAAGAAAAGGAGAAAAGCTAAACTTCAGAAAGCATGCACTTCGCATGGACACAGGGTCTGAGGCATTTCTTGGGGAACACAGAGAACCAAGGACTTGGTGTTAACTCAGCCCAATTATTTATTTACTTAATCCGACTTCGTTGATGAACACTTTTCCAAACTTAGGGACAGTTCCATTTGCACCTCAGTCCTCTCCTGTATAAAAACGTGATGGTGAATTAAAAAAAAAACAAAAAACAGCCATGTTTCTGCTTGATGGTATATTTCTTATCACAGCAAAAGTGTCTGATTGAAATGGTTATAATAGAGCAGAAGAAGCACAGAAGTTAAGGTAAGCGGACCTGTTTGAGTGTGATGTGGACGTGCTTTTGAAGTACACTCCTGGTGCTCTCTTCTGCCCACACCTTCTCTCCGGCTGTGTGTAGTAGGAATGAGGGGAGAAAGGGAGAGCGTGTCACAGATTCTCCCCCACTGCCTATGATGCAGCCGCTTCTCCCATGCAAAGAGGAGACAGACAGTCCTCAACCAGCTCACAGGCTGCTGTTTGATGTATTCTAGCCCTGCTAGCTGAGAGCAGACAGACAGTCCTTGTTGAGAGGAAGTTGTGGCCTGAACTCGGCTGAAATGGAGACAATTGGATCACTGAACTAGAGGGTTGAATAAGGTTCTCAGTTATTAGGAATTAGCACCAGAGTCCTACATTGGGAAACACATTCAGGCCACAGGTAAAAAGCAAACTGGTCATGATAAAGCTTGTGGATCATGGAGAGGCCCCACTCTACTCACACCTGTACATTTGCTAGAGGGGAGAAGTTTTTCCAAAATGAGAAATCATAGCCTGTAAATATTAAGTGGCCAGCTGTGAACCACTGCAAAGCCAATCTGGACACATTTTAATTGGAATAAGAGCCAGAGAAGTAGCCAAATGGACATCTGCCAAAGGAATGGAAGTAGATCTTGGTAGTACTTGATTGCCCACTGGGGATAAAGGGCAGCAAATCAAGTGGTGGAAGTTAGAACCTTGTGAGAACAGAAATGGGGCTAGAAAGTATGGCAATGTGAGTTTTCTTTCCATAGATTAGCAACAACTAAAGGCAGATAAATCATTCATCCTTTAAATCTTAACATTTTCTTTGGAATGATAGTGTAGTTTACCTAAACTTCTTTCCTTAGTTCTGGTGAAATAACTCGAAGTTTAATTTCTTTGTGTATATTTCTTCAGTTCCTGCATTGGCAGAACTTCAAAATAATAACCCCCCTTAGATTTAATACAAAGTTGGTTTAAACTATGATAAAATTATTTAGATATTGCTCTAGGTTCTTGTTGGAGTGTAAATGTGTGCATCTTAATAGAATGTTGGATGGAAGTAGTCTCGAGGTATCATCCACATCCGTGGCATCAATGACTAGGGATTTAACAATGCATTGTGAACTGAGTTCTTGTCTTCATCTTCAGTTATTTTGAACTTTTTTATCGTCTCTGAGAGCAGGAAGGTGGGATTTAAGGAAAGGATATCTGAGTGCTGGGACAGGCACATGTTCAGAGAAGACCATTATGAAAATTCTGAAATAAAGAGCAAGTAGAGCATACAGCCTGTCATTCCCTTCATGACATGTTAAAGCGAGGCTAGTCCAGAAGGGATTTTTTGGTGACTGCATCAAGGCACACAACCAGTTTGGGTTGAAAATTTGTTAACACCGAATCTTGAAAAATGAAGACGGATGAACTAATTTGTAATCCTCATCATTATTTTCTCCCTCTGGCTACAGGTAATGAAATGTGACTGTTAACTTTGCTGAGTGTGTGGAAATGGTGCTGTGGAAATATTTCTTAAAAAATATAGCATCTCCAACTGATGTCTCTAACATGAGTGTATAATTACAAAAAGAAGATACAATTCCAATGGCAACTGGTAATAGAATCTTAGAGTTGAGGTAATAGTTCCATTAAAACATTGAAAGTTATAAGCAGTCTCTGCCATTTTATGAAAATGTGTTTTCTCTAATTTTTTGAGAAAGGAAAAGAAGTGTAGCGCATTACCAGTCCAAACAAAGGGAAGCAGCTGATGGATTTTTGGAAAGTGCTGATTGTACATGTGAGCAGCCCACGGTCTGCTTGCTCCTGGAGAGGAGCATTCTCAAACTTGAAATTTTCCAGTGTTTGCCACGCCCGGGAAGTGTCAACAATGGTTAAGTGAGAATGAGATTTGGTGACCTTAAGAGTGGTTTGGCTAGAAAACCTGAGGAAATACTCAGGGGTACCATCCCAGCTGACAGGGAGTAGTGTGTTTCCTGGGTGCTGGAATGGCAGGGGGGTGGGGTTGGTCCTTGGGATGGATGTGCACCTGCTTTCTGAGAGGTGAGAGGGAGACGCAAGAGGGAAGAGATATGGGGATATATGTTTATGTATGGCTGATTCACTTTGTTATACAGCAGAAACTAACACACCGTTGTTAAGCAATTATACTCCAATAAAGATGTTAAAAAAATAAGGGATTTGGTTTTTCTCCGACAGGGGTGACTTAGATGTCATCCTGTCTGGGACAGAGATGTCCTTATGTCTCTGAGGTTTGACGAATTTCCTAAGAGACCACAGGGATGTGTTCTTTGACCTGGACTAGTTTTGATATGGGTGGCACTTAAATTACCTGTTCTCAGGCTTGAGTTTCTTGCTTTATCTCTGCATTGCCCTCACATTCTCCCAGAGCCACATTCCCCCTGCTCTGACACCTGCTTCTCTGAACTCTGGAGGAAGTTCTGCGCATCCGACAGGGCGAGTGAGGTCAGTGGAACACTGAGCCCAGCAAGGCAGAAATAAAGAAAATGCAGCAGTCATTCTGGACGGTGGTAGGGTTATGTCCCAAGAAGAAGGAAACACGAGCACTTCAAGGACACAGGAATTTGTCAGAATGCTTTCTTTGCCAAATCCTAGCAGAGGTCTGCCCTCAGTCCACTGTCAAGAACAATTTCCTGTTCTCTTTTTCCAGCCTGCATGTCAGTTCTGTGGAGAAAGACTTGGCTTCCACTGATGGACTGTCAAATTTAGCTGAGTTTCGTACCTTTGCCAAAACGTTTAACCATTTCCTCTGGACAGCTGAAATCCAAATAGAACCTACCCAGTAACCTTATTTGCTTTCATGAATTATTAAAACTGCTAAAATTTTACCTGTCAGTCTCTCCTTTGAAAGCAGTGGGAAATCTGAGGATAATTTTTTGCTGAGAGATAAGTAAGACATGATCTTAAAGGTAAAATTTTAAAGGTGATCACGTCCCACAAGCCCAAGAGTTTCCATTGTAATAGTCCAGCTGCTGGTCGCATGCCACATTCATGCAACAGTGATTCATTTTTAGATCTTGCCATCAAAATGCATACAGCTCAACCCAGTAGAACAGCTAGCACTGATGGGAGCAAGTGGGCAATTCATCTAAACACAAAGTGCTGCAGGAGACCTGAAATGTTTCTTCAGAGATCTTTCTTCCTACATTTGCTGATTTCTTTTAATGAGTATAGAAATAGAGACTCTTTGTGCTTAACTTTATGTAAGTTTCTATTCAGGTGTGGTTTCTTGTAATGTAGGAAACATTTTTATTTTTAATTTCAGAAGCATCCTGGCCTGACATGTGACAGTAAAGAAGTCAGGGTAAGGGTTTGCACAGAAAATCTTAAGATGTTTGGTTTCAGTCGTTGCAAAGGAGAATGGCTTCTGCCTAGAGACTTAGTTTGGTGATGTTAGAAAATCACAAAGATAAGAAGACTTAAGACATTTTAACTAGGCACCTCAAGAACAGTGGTCTCACATTGAAAATGTTTTGCAAATCAAACGTTTGGCAACTTCAATTCAGGTGCATTTAATGTGAACTCAAATATGTGGTAAGTGTGTGTAATCAGAAAGCGTCTACTTTCTATCAGTTTGTGGTCACATGAAGACAATTGACGTTAATTTCCAAGACTCACTATTTGGTAGCCTTCTAGCGTGTAACCATAAAGCACCAGCGCCCAGCACAGTTGTCCCCAAGGAGTGACCTACACCCTCTGCCGGGCGCTGTCTCATCACTGAGCCAGGCGCTTTGTCTTCTGGCCATCAGCCTGGCCTTAGGGACAGCCCCTGAGTTGGGTCGTGTCCTCATGGGGGATCCTCCTGGCAGTTGTCTTCTGAAACAGCCCAACTGTCACCACCTTCAGTTGCTAAAATGACAAAACCCTAAGGTACGAAACAATCCTGTGTCCCCTTCAGTCCTCACTCTACCCAGGGGCCACATTGTAGTCTGTGTGGAGTTGGTTGTCTTTTTCCTATTTTGAACTTCACTTTGCATCTGGACCCTTTTTACTTGTGCTCTGAGTCTTACTAAATCATTTGTGAAAACAGTCCTTTGATTTTCTGCTTGAGAGTAACTTCCTCTTAGAGGCTAAAAAACTGGCTAGTACTAGACCAGAGGCCATCACATTTCCCTTTCAGTCCTCCACTGGGTTCCAGGAAATAAATCATCCCCTATAATTAGACCCCGATGTGTTGCCCCAGCAATAGCGCTGCATCCTCCACCCCCTGAAAAGACTGCGTTTCCTTTAGGGCCATCCAGAACCACTGCTGATGCACAGCAAAAACCAACTCCATTGTAAAGACAGTAGAGCCATGAAACTCTGCAAAATTCACACATCTAAAATTGTTTCCAGACAGACCTACAATCTTTAACATCATCCCCTTCTCTCCTCACGCCAAACAACTCTTTCCAGTAACTTCAGAAAGTGAAGAGATATGGTAAACCTGAAACTTCTGTGTGACAAAGAGCTCAACAGTTGTGATTGCTTGCAGCACATGTAGTCATCACGGGAGCTGGGAAAGTTTATTTCTACTTCATTCAGGTACTTGCTCTGATTTAAAGTGATCAAAGTCGGTGCTTTGTGTCCACCTAGAGGGGTGGGATAGGGAGGGTGAGAGGGAGACGCAAGAGGGAGGAGATATGGGGATATATGTTTATGTATAGCTGATTCACTTTGTTATACAGCAGAATCTAACACACCGTTGTAAAGCAATTATACTCCAATAAAGATGTTAAAAAAATAAAGTGATCAAAGTGGAGAAAGACACTAGTACTCTTAATTCTCTATAAATTGGTCCAGATAAGCATGGGACACAGTAGACAATAAAAACCCAGTTATCCTCCTTTTATACTCCTTGGAATTTAGGAGATTTCAGAAAATAACTTCATTCACCAGAAGTATATACCAACTAATAACAGACTCTGGGCTTGATGCAATTTCTTTTCCTTATTGATTACTGGATCTGTTAGGAAATGCTCAAGATATATTGCATTCTTACCCTTACCTAGAGGGAGAAATTTTATCTGCCTGGTATCTATGACTTTAGTTACAATGTCATGTCACAACTAAAAGTTGACTATATGGACAGAAAGCTTAGTATTTTGATCATTATCTTAGAGGGATTTCTGACTGATTGAAAAGTCTTTAAGGAACTCTCTAAGGAATGTTAAATTAGAGGTCTTTTCTTTTTTATAAATTATTTATTTTTGGCTGCATTGGGTCTTCGTTGCTGCACGCAGCTTTCTCTAGTTGAGGCGAGCGGGGGCTACTCTTCGTTGTGGTGCGCGGGCTTCTCATTGTGGTGGTTTCTCTTGTTGCAGAGCTCGGGCTCTAGGCACATGGGCTTCAGTAGTTGTGGCACGTGGGCTCAGTAGTTGTGGCTTGCGGGCTTTAGAGAGCAGGCTCAGTAGTTGTGGTGCACGGGCTTAGCTGCTCCGCGGCATGTGGGATCTTCCCGGACCAGGGCTCGAACCCGTGTCCCCTGCATTGGCAGGCGGATTCTTAACCACTGCACCACCAGGGAAGCCCTAGAGGTCTTTTTAAGCAACATAATTTGTCTTACTGTAGTTTCTTTGCTCTCTCCCTCTAAGATAAAAACGGGATGAAAGTGTGAGGAGTCAAAAGTCAGTGGTTTGGGGAAGGTGTGACACTTTATTTGGGGGAAATCTGTTCACTGATTAGCTGGAAACATACCCACCTAGGAAGTGGAACCTCCTGGGGGTAAAATTCTTCTTACAGAGTATGCAGGAAATTGCAGACTTTGGAACATTCTTGCAGATGTGCAGATCCAGTCACATTTATTGTCTGATCTCTTATGAACAATTTTTAGAAATACAATTGACCCTTGACATGTTAGATTTTAAAATGTGCCATTTGGACCACTCGCAAGCAACCCAAAGGATCAAAAATGTGTGGTTTGCTGAGGTACAAATTTGAGTGATTTTCCAAACAAAACATTTAGTGAGAAGGATGGCATTATTTTACATGTTTGCATATCTCTTTAGTGACTGGCTTAATGAAGGCAACTGGATTCTTATATCTGCCTCTGCCTTCAGTCTGTTGAAATATATTGCTTTCGATTGAAGTATGTAAAGAAAATCTAGTCTCACAGATATGTACTAGAACATGGAATAGTGTTTTAGTAACTCTTTTGGATGGTTGTAGATTGTTTTCTTTGATTCATAACCTCTGGAAGGTTAAGTGTAATGCAGTCATTGTATTTATAGTTTTTGATGTTTCATCATTGCTAAGAAAATTCTTCATATGGTCTTAGAATTATAAAGCCAGAAAGAGCTTCATTTCAGATGTGGAAATCAAGACATAGCACGTGACAGAGATAGGATTCAGACTCCAAATTCATGATCATTACAGCAGGCTACACCTCACCTCAGGTTTACCCGTCATTGTTTTTTGTTGAAAGATACCCTTGTTTTTCAAGAAAGTGAAACTGTTACTTGTCAATTGTAATTTTAAGAATAATAGATACAAAATTTTATTTTTCCTCTCTGTTTCCCCCAGGTGGTTTCATGTTTTTGAAGAAAGTGAGTAAGAGATTCGGTTGGCTATTGCAGAATGGAGCATGCAGGACCCTCCATTTCTCTAACAGATAAGAGGTGCAGTACCACCATTTAACCCCTAGTAAGCACTCAAATATTCGCCAAGCTTAGTAAGACTTGCCATAAATACCTAACAGACTGAAATTACCATCTGCAAAATGTTTTCCTGTGAGAGTGCATTATGCAGTTAAATTTATTCTGTGAAATTCTGTCAACTAGTAATTAATGTAACTAAAGTAGAAAATTTTTGTGGAATTGAAAATTGCTTTTAGTTGTACTATTGTTCGGGAAGAACAATTTAAGAACATCTGGATTCTGTGTTCTTAGCTCATCGTCCTAGTTTATTGTGTTGCTTTTATTCTCCTGTAGGTGGTAAAATAGTGATTCAAAGACTAAGGTAAAATATAAATGTGACTCTCCTTTTTAGGTCCTTACTAGTAGAGAGGGGTATCTTTTGGAGATATTTAAAGGGCTGGATTATCAGCAACTTTGTAAATGTTTAGGATTCAGTACAACTCAATTTGGGTTTGGCTGTTTACTTACATCTGTAATTTTTGACATCGCATCCATTTTAGGGCTAACATAATGTGTTGATTTATGAGCACTCAAAAATCCACAAACATTATAAATGAATAAATAAGACAGAATATCAAGCGTGAAAAGTGTTTCTATTAATAAGGATAAGAATTTTGCTTTCAGCAAATGAAGTATGGCATGGGTTTACTTCCCCCAGCATCTGTTCAGAAGTCTCAGAATTTGAACACTTTGTGCATTCTCTCTTTTGCTCTGTGTTCCTCTTGGGAAAATTCCTTGAACTGTGACCTAGAGAAGGTGAGAGGTGGACTGGTCTTCTATTCAGACTAGTACATTTCCTTCTACTTAGCTGATATTTAAAATCTTAACTGGAAATAAGAATAGCTGCCTTCTCCTAGTCGGAATGCCTTTTGCCACCTACTAGTTGTGTGACACTGAGCAAGTTAGCTGTCTGAGCCTTACTTTTGTGATCCATAAAGTGGGAATAATATCTTCCTTGATAACGGTGTTTAAGGGGACTAGAAGAAATAGTGTATGTAAAGTACTTAGCATAATGTATGACCAAAGTAAAACCTCATTTATCATTACTGAAGAAAATTCTCCAGATGAAGCCATGTTCCTCCTTCCCTCCAGAAAGCATTCTGGCAGATGCCCATGGAATGCTGAATGCTCAGGGCTAGAAGCTACTCAAGAAGGTGTGGTCGAGGACCAACAGCATTGGCATCACCTGGGTGATCACCTGGTATCACCTTGGTAGAAATGCAGATTTTTAGGTCTCAACCCCAGACCTACTGAATAGGAGTCTGTATTTCAGTGATCCCCAGGTGATTCGTAAACACATTAAAGTTTAAACAGCACTGTGACAAGTACACCTGCTTAACAAGTGTTTGCTCCAAAACCATTTGATACCAGTTGCTCTTGCTTTTGTAATTACATAATTTAACTATCACATAAAGCTAAATAAGAGTGTGAAAAGGGCGAGTTGTTGTTTTTAAGAAAACTAAGTTAAATGCTTTAGAACAATAATAGTGAAGTAAGTGTGGGTGAGGCAACCATAAAGATTGGAAAAATGGTAAAGATCTGTAAGATTGTGAGCTCTGAGTTCTTCTCTTGCATGTTTTAGTTTCTAGATTTCACTGTAAAGAAGTTTAATACCACTTAGTCAGTGGCTGGGGCCACCCAGAAAAGAGTGTGTGCTCAGCCCAAAAGATGAGGGGGACCTGGAATTGACAGCTGCCAGCTAACTGCACATCTGGGCAGCCAGTCCTTTCTTACAGGGGAGAATCAAGGGGCACTCACGATGTCTGCCAGCATCTCCATCTGTTTCTTAAAAATGCAAACCTATGAATACTTGCATGGTATAAATAAATAAGCCTACGAGACCAATTTCTTATTTACTTTATTGAATGAAAACACCTACAAATGTGAAGACTTCGAACATCCCAAGTGCAAAAATTTATACACTTTAATGATGGCGTTTGAAACTTGACAAATAATCGTGCTCTATGCACACCAGTCTATAAATATAGTCAACAGTCGTCCCCAGAGCTGTGAAGTGACTCTTGACTGATTTTCAAATTATTGTGAATTTGCTAACTAATCAAAATTCTGAACACAAATTGGCTCGGTCAGGATGCATGATGCACGGTGCACATCTAAACCACCAAGGAAATATCCGAGCGGCTTTAGGAATTCGTCTTCCATCATCTCTAGTACGTTTTACAGACCACAAATAACCAATGGAGAAGGGTGTTTCTCTGTAGCATCTATCACAATCTCAAGCTTTCTTACATAAAGGCAAACTGATGTGGTAAAAAAGAGTGATGCTTGAAGTGAGAAGGCCTGTGTTTGAGAATGGCCTCTGTCATTCAGTTCCTGAGTTAATGTCATTGGGGATTGGTGGTCACAACGTCTACCTCACAGAAACTTGGGAGGGATTAAGGAAGTGGATTTGTTGACTCCCTACAATAAGTCAGTAATGTTATTACATTTACTTATCATCTGGTTTAATTCTTGAAATGCTGTGAAGTTAGATATCTACATTTAATAGAAGAGGAATATGACACAGAGTTGCTAAGTGGCAGAGGTCAAATTTGAACCAGATTCTCTCCAATACTAGAAGGTGTGTTCTTTTCTTTATACCAGCCTGCCTCCAAATAAGTTTGTGAAATTCATGTACATATATGTTAGTTAGTATTATAAATTGAATGTCAAAATAGCACTCTTTATGTCTCAGTTTTGAGACAAGAACAATATGATAGGTGTCCAGTAACCCTACAGAATATCCTAAAGCACAAGGTTAGCTCACACTGGAGGTCCCAAGAGATTATAAATTAGTTTTCCAACAAGATAGTTTCTGTCACTTACTTTGAGAGTTTAAAAGAGTTGTGGTAGAGAGACCTTGGGAGAAAGGATTTATTTGGAGAGTTGTAAATATTCAAGACCCCCAGCTTCCCCCTGCCCGCCCCCACCAATGGCAGAAGGAAGATGGTTGTTTCCTCCCCATCAAAACCAAATTAGAAATGCTGAAAGGAGAACCATTCAGAGAAGAAAACTTGGTATGCTTAAAGAAGCTTAAGGAAAGAAGACTGAAGTCTGACCTTCACCAAAAATCCTATCATTGCGTGACTGCTTGAAGCTGTCCTGCCTGATGGCGGCAAAGAGGTTTCTGTGCTTTCACTTTTTTTTTTTTTTTTTTTTTTGCGGTACGCAGGCCTCTCACTGTTGTGGCCTCTCCCGTTGCGGAGCACAGGCTCTGGACGCGCAGGCCCAGCGGCCATGGCTCACGGGCCCAGCCGCTCTGCGGCATGTGGGATCTTCCCGGACCGGGGCACGAACCCGTGTCCCCTGCATCGGCAGGCGGACTCTCAACCACTGCGCCACCAGGGAAGCCTGTGCTTTCACTTTTAGTGGTGTGTGTTCTCCAGGAACCAATATGGACCTATATGGAAGGGAACCAGCCTGGGGTGAAGAAGTGACCCTACCAGAGGGAGTGGATGATGGGAGAATATCCATAAGCTGAGAGAATGTCAACCACTAAGAGAATGAATCCTCCAAGCCTTCCTCAACCCCCTGGTCCAGTAAAGGGAACCTCCAATAGAGGGTAGGGCCTCTGAGGAATCTGCACTAGAAATAACCAGAAAACTGTAGGCCCCACACATCCAGAGGCAATAAAGACAGATCACAGATGTGCCTACCATGAAAACCTCTTTTCACCAAACTCTGCCCTCCCTGGGCTCACAAACATCAGCTAGTGTGATGGTGGGGGAGAGATACTGATCAACAGCTGCCATGCCTTTGCTGTAATCTGCTCTGCCAGATTCCAGGACCGAGGGACTGTGATTATTACACTGTCCTGAACATTTTAATTCCTTAAATGTGATTACTCTTGTGAATGAAAAGGTACTTTCCTAAAGCATCATCCAGCAGTGGGGAAGAACCAGTTTAAAGAATGAGTTTAAAGGAAATGATAAGAAGGAGTGAAAGTGCTTGTGATTTTTCCCTACAGAGGGCAATTCATTCACATACAGGCTTTATTATTATCTAAATAATAGTGGACTATATAATATAGATCTCTATATAATAATAGTGGTCTAAATAAAAGTGGACTTGGTGCCGTTCCTCATTCATATTCAGCATGTTTGGGTGATGTAAAGGCCAGCTGATTGAGACTTCCTGGTGTGAAATTAGAGACTGGAAAGAATGTTTATGATGACCCAGTGTCTAAGACCTAGCCCAGCGCCTGGCATCTTACAAATATCAAACATTCAATAAACACTTGTTGAATTGAATGTAGTCCAAGATCCTCGTTTTACAGATTCAGAAAGGGATGTTCAGAGAGGTGAGGTGACAAGGTCAGATAACTAGTCAGGGACAGAACCGAGACCTTCTATCAAACAATGGCCCTCTTGTTGCTTCTCCCCTCTGGGGTAAGCTCCTTCAGAAAACTCAATTATAAGTCCAGGTAGATAATAAGCCTCCAAAACTTGGACTTAACAAAGTTTTATTTCTTGCATGTGCTACAGGGATGATGTGGGCTAGGTGGGGGCTGTGCTGTGGGGACACCAGGTTGTCAGAGGTTCCACCATATTAGGTTGCTGCCATCTCAACATGCTACTTCTAGAATTGCTGCAGCAGAGGAAGAGAGCAATGGAGAAGGCACACTGTCATTTAACCCTCTTGAACTGAAAGTGACACATGTCATTTTCCACTCTTAGGGCATTGGCCAGAATTAGCACATGGTCCCACTTTCCTACAAGAGTACTGGGAAATCTTCCAATGTACCCATAACAGAGAGGAGAAATTAATATGATGACATAGTAATTGTTACCACATCCAGAAGTGGAAACTCACTTTAACTTTTGTTCTCCTATCTAAAGTTTGTTTTCCTGTCAAAACTGAGAAATGATCTCTGTCAATTGCAAGGCCACAAGGGAGAATGGTTGCTGAATGGTGAAGTCAAAATATCTCTTTAGAAGGTTTCTGTGTGCTGTGTATAAGTTCATTCCTGCTGAAGAAATTGC